GTCATAAAGTTGTCATCAGACAAGATGAGATAAAAAAAAGGAAATATGTAATTTGGAAAGGTCGGAATGAAAATGGCTTACGATTCAAATTCTGCATTACTTTTAGGACGCCATGTCTGTTATCTAACCTATTGAATATTTAACAATTTTACTCGGTATCGTCACAGAAAGACAGTCATCAAGTGTCGGGAATATCAACCTTGTACTGGATTACTAATCACTCTTGGGGATGTAAACCAGGGCGGAGCTGTTTTGAGGTGGTTGTGAGGGGGTAAGCAATTTTTTTCTGGATTACCACACACAACTCACATAATAAATGTGTAGGAATTGCAAAAATGTTTAAAAAATTTAATAAAATACCTATTTTACTTATTTCTTGGAATCTATGCATTTTGGAAGAAAATTGAAGAGGAAAAAAGTTTTAGAATTAAATTTTGCACAATATACTGTACGTTAAAATTGTTTAAATTTATTACCGATGTTGCAAATTAACAATAATTAATGAAAAAAAAGGCAAAATAATCAAGTTTTTTGGATAATTTTTTTACAATATTTTAATTGCTCCGAGGGCATTCCAGTTTTGGTAAAAAAAACTTTAGAGTATAATAAAACAACACACCAAATTTCATTAAAATCGGTTTGACAGTTTTCGCAAAATAATTTTTTGAAAAAATTTTCAAAAAATTTTTTCGAATTTTCAAAATGTTGCACAGCTTCGAATAAAGCATCTAGATACTTGAAAATTTTGTTACATAGAAAAAATCGGTTGATTAGGACGGCCACAGTAAATTTTTAAAGGTAACACTTTTTTTATTTTTGAACAATTATATTGCATCTATTAATTTGCAGTTTAGTTTTTTTCAAAATTTATAAATTTAAAGTACTATTTTTTCTTAATTAAATCTGTATTTAACAAAAAAAATAATTTCCAAGTGATAATGTACATTAGATACTGATCAGTAGATTTAGAAGGTATGTGATTCATATAAATGTTAAATAATAAAGAGCCCAAAATTGAACCCTGAGGAACTTTTAATGATGCACTAAATTGCATCGACTTAAATCCTTGTCACTGAACAAATTGTCTGTCATAAAGACATGACATAAGACAGTTGAAACAATTTACCAGAAACACCATCGCAGTTAAGTTTCTCAAAAATCATGTCATCATGGAGAAGATCGAAAGTATTCGTCTTATCGATATAAATCAGGTCAACCTGATTCGATTATCAAAAGTCTCTAGGTGTTAAGTTTTGAGGGTTTTGAGAAACCACCTTTCATAAAGACTTGCTGACAGGGACTGATATTGCTCACATGGTTGCATAAATAGGAGTGGGTTGCAGTTTCAAATCCTTTCTTTTTAGGAGCTATCAAAGATACATCCAGAATCATACGAGACTATAGTAAGGTGTTTTCTTGTTGTTGATGCAAGACCAAAATTTACCAGGATTAGAGATAATTCGTCATTAGCGATAAAGTTAGAAGTTGTGATATTTATTTTGATTCCAACTTTCAATTTTTTAAATTTATTTTTCGACTGAATGCAACCATGTATGAAAGAAAGTTACAGGATTGTAAAATAAAGGTAACTTTGGGTGACAATCAAAGTTTACTTCAGCAGAACAAACTCATTACATTGAAGTTGCTGACAAGAACTCAAGACAGTCAAACATAACTAAATGTTTCAAGGGATGTGTTGAGTATTCAAATTAGCATAATCGTAATGAATTTGGTACACCAAAAATCCGAATTATGTCTTTATTAAGGCTATAAAATCAAAATCAGAAAGTAGAATTACTCAAATTGCTCTTATAGATTAATTAATGATATCACCGTTTACCAGTTCCTCTAATTACAGGAAAAATATACTCTGGGTAATGACCTCTTCTTGATTGACCTGTTTATTAATTTTTTTGAGGGAATAATTACCTGGTACTCCCATTAATTACGTGATCCACACAGACGCTAATAATTCATCTCCTTATGGATCAGTTCCATGAGAAAAGCCACGACGGACGTAAGTTCACACGGTAAGTGGGGTTTAATTAATACAACTACATTATTAACCGAGCTCATTTGCAACTGTTCGTAGCTGCTGCTGCTGCACTGGACGTTCTTAGAGCTAGTTGCACAAACTAGACCGTTTTTTATAAGCCATTTTAATAATCAGCGGCGTTCTACTCGGAAGATATAGGGCCCAATTTCGCCCGGCTCCGATCCAATTAATGTTAAAAATTCGCCGGCTAGCTGGTCCTGTTTGTTTTTCCTTTGCCGTCAGCCGGTAAATTAAACAAACCTTGTAAATAATTAACTAGAACTTTCATCTACGGGGAAATTTGGCGAGCTTCCGTAAATTAGTTTTATATTAAAACTGGGTTTTAATCTAATTGCGCGATAATTGCATATCCTACGATTGTCGATAATCAAATAGATGTGTTTATGTCGCTACGGACTATGCGGTAATTGGCCATTTGAATTTTACTAAACAATACAGTCCATTAAATTTACGGCTGATGGTTTCCCTCTATACTCAATTACTATCTGGTGGTGTTAGTTGTTTACGATATTGCTCTTTTTAAGAACTAACTTCACCAGTTTATCCCCTAAACAATCCGATTTCACGATGAATACATTTCATTACAAGTCTTCAGCATAATAGCAGACTGTATTGAAGAAGAATACACTATTTTTTGGAGAAGAATATCCATTAAGTACAAAACTTACAAAAACTCATTCCAAACTGTTCTAAATAGGTCAACAACCATAGGAAAACAGGTCAAGTCTCTAAAGAGGATCTGGTACTTATCAATAATCAATGCTGCCAATGCAAAGAAAAATATTCTTTAGACTAGAAAGTAAGTAGATTGGGATACTTGCTTGTAGATATTGAATAAAATCGAATATTTCCATCTTTCAATTTATTATTCTTTACCCAATGCCATGAGTTGCAACAGAAACTTGCAACAGCAAACGAGAATGCTGAGTCTATTATTTGTATGTTGGTAGTCCTTGTCATGTATATAGGTATAGCTCTCACAGCTGATTGCTTTAACCTATTAAATGTCGGATGAAGAACAGAGTCGGTAGAAAGGAAAATTTGTGACCAAAAGAAAGTAGGAGTGCTTGAGGATTATAACAGAAAATAGCAAAAGCAGGAAAGAAGCTGTTGGAGAGAAGATTGTGGAGTCAGAACCTCCGCACGCCGTTTGAGGGTATCAACTAATTGACATAAGAGTACAAGGCACCAAGCATGCACTGCTCTTTTTGCAAATAACTTTTACGTATTTTAAATTATGTACAAATTGTGATCACGAAGTGATTCGAGTGGAAAAGTCTAATTATGATTTAGTTACATGCATTAGTAACATACTACTATGATGCACTTCTGTCAATGCACATGTTCCTTATAAGAAAAGAGTTTAAAGCGATTGCATTCATAAAAGTGTAATACAATTTGATATATGTAGTATTATACTGTGATACGATGTTATTGCAGTCAAAATTATTCGAAAAAATATACTGATATGGTTGAAATGTTAATTTCAAATTAAAAATTCTATTAAAAATGTCATAATTTATCAAAATGAATAAAATTATTATATGCGCAGTGAAGCAAAGTATAAATATTTTGTACTGAAAGTTTATTGTACTTTATAAATAAAAAAATATTTCAAAAAACATGCTTCATTTGAAAATTTCCCAATTTATTTTATTATTCCAAATTGAATTACGCAAATAGACACAAGCTGAATGCAACGACTAATTTGTGTATCGAAACATTTATTTGAATTTCCCGCCACCTATCCTCATTCATACTCTATTGCGCTGTTGCCGTTACTCCTTGATTACTTGGCGGACAATAAGTCATAACTTTTTGTTTCATAAATTATTTCTCTGTGAAATGTGCGGTAACCTACTTTTTTCTTTCTCTCATCTATTAATTCATCATTCAAGTAAATGTCTATATTTTTTTCGTCTTACTATTTGCATTTTTTCACCCATAATTCGATTGTAATAGTTTTTCCCATAAGAACTTATGTTAAATATTCAAATATTTGGCATTAATTAAAAACAAAAACAAATCGATAAATAATTCGAGAACAATTCACAGAAATTAATTTCGCATTGCAAAAATAATATCCCCCTTAAATGTAATCCGATTATTATCACATTAATTGACTACAAAAAATTGTGTTATAATATACCTTGTAGTTTGTAGCTGTTCTGTTCAAGACCGAGAATATACACGCCCCAGATTTTATTAGGTAACATCTGGTAACTTTACCCAACGAAGTATAATACGTACACACACCGGATGTTCTATTTAACTCTGTTTACTTTAAAAAGTTGTAACGCTTTCGCGGCGTCAAAACTGAGATTTGTTTACGAATCGCCTAAAATATAACGCCTTGTATACAATAAAACGGAATTAGTTTACGGAAAGGTGCGATAGCTTTTGTGGCGCGGCGTAAATATTTTAATTAACCTATGATTAACTCCGAATTTATTAACTCCTCGTTTACGAGAAACGGTGTGCTTCCGATTCGGCAACTAAGGGGGTGATTACACCGGTTGAGGAGTCGTAAACGCGAAGTCATACGAAATCTGGCGTTCCTTTCGTTCAAATGTGTCATTAATTGTGGTCCTTCGATACCCGTATTTCACCGTAAACCATTTTGGTAGCATCAGAAAGTCATACATACAAAGATCAAATTCAACACTGTGCTTATACGTGTGTGTACTTTTCGCTACTACGTATATGAAGTTCATTTAAAGCGGCGGTTACGCTTAATGCTGATTCGTACGAACACTTTTTCGCTCGATACAAACTTATAAACGAAATAGTGACAGGATACAAATTGCAATGCATACACATGTGTAAATATACATATTTATTTTAATCTCACGTTACGATCTCGCTCGAACAAATTCCGTAGGAATTCGCGCCCGGTGTGACCGCCGCTTAACTGAACTGAAAACTAAAGTGACAAAAAACTCACAGTTAACGCTTAGAGATACCGTCGAAATTAATTTTTTGCCTTCGGGAAGGGCCCTATTCCAAACTTCACAATGAAAAACGGCATCGTCGTCTTCCTTGGTGGGGTTAATTGATAGGGTGGCGGTGGTAGGCTGGTCCCTCGAGCCGCCATTTTTTAAAGCCGCTTCCAAGGGATACGTGGATCCTGAAAAAAGGTAATTAAACACGTTATTACACAGACAACATCACAAAGAGAATTCTTTATCGTCGTTCAGACGCTTCATTGATCGCCCGTTCTATATAAAAGTGACGCCCACTTATGAAAATTGAACTGTAATCACTTTATCCGGATTGCGCAATCCAAGAATTCATGTGACGGTTATGCTCAATTGCCAAACGATTATTTTCTTTGAACGTGGATAATTGCCAGTTATGGATTGTTTAATCAAATAATAATTCAACTTTTTCAACAATTAATAATCAAAATACATTAGGCACAAAAATTAATTGAAAAAAAAAAAACAAATTTTTAGATGGTATTCAAAAGGCTTCAAAATTTGTCGAAAAATAGTCGTAGAGCAATAGATAAAAATAAAAGAAAAAAATTGGGTATTTAGGATTTGAGCGTCAAATTCGGGGAAAAAAATGTATTGTGTGTAACTATGTACAATATAATTATTATATATAGCAAATATATCGTATTATCCTCGCGAAGATTTGTATGCTTTATTTAAAATTCGTAAATCATGTGAACTGGTAAAACAACGAGAATTATGTTTATTTAGTTCTAAAGAAATGAAGCGCCCATCTCTCGTGCAAGTCGAAGAAAATGTTGGATGCAATTTTGAAGGTTCTGTGATAGAAATTACAATATTACTCACTTTACTACTCATTTTAGTAATGTTACAAAAGTTTTGCAACTATAACTGATTTTTTAGATATAAAGTTTGCTGAGAAATATTTATGTTCCTTTGTTATTCTGTACAAATGCTTTTATCTCAAGTATTACTAATTATATTAAACAAGTAAAGAAAACTTTATGTAACCCTAAATATTGTTGGGTAATGATTACGATGTTTTTATAAACCATTAAATATATTAAAAGGATTTATCAACTGTATTTTTTATTCCAATAAATATATCACAGCTTCCTAGTCTTTTTTAATTAATCTAGTTTTTTAAAAACATTACAAAAAAACATCTGTTGTGGATAATTTATTGTTTATAACAATGTACATGGGATTTAGGAAAAATGTATATGTTTGAAACCAATTTCGTGTTTATCGAGTCTTTCAAATGTATTCCCTCCTTGCTGTCAGCTGATTGCGATGTTGCCACGTTAATCCTCAAGTCAGACAGAAATTCAATTATTGGTTTCTGTTTCTAATTAATACAGTTGTACTATGTTCAAAACTTACATTAGTTTTACATCAAAATAAGATAATACTGTGTACTATCTATGGAAAAGTTTTGTTTCACATTTTTTTCACAGTTATGGGCAAAAAAAGAGCCGCATCGTCCATCTTCGCCATATAAACCTATGTTAAAATGAACAACTTTCAACAACAATATCTCAAAATCTAGATACAAAAAAAATTCAAAAAAATATGACGCACAGAGGGAGCACTAGGTAATACGCTATATAAATTTCAAGTACATCTGTGCATTTGAGTAAACCCGATTCTGGATTGCAAAATTATTATGCAAAAATCTATGGAACCGATTTTGATGAAATTTGGTGTTATGATTCTACATAACATGAAGTTTTCTTGAGCCAAGTATGAAGGTCCTATACCCAATTTAAAGACCCCAAAAAAATTCCCTAAAAAGTAATGTTTTTTTACTCCATTTTTGCCGATTTTTACGATTTTTACAATAATAATCATCATTCATTCGATTTGTAACTAGTCATATTTTGTAAAAAGTTTAATACAAACATTTTTTTCCTCTTCCATTTTCGCCTAAAATCAACTCTTGAAAACATACATAATTAAATAGGAAGAAAAATATGAAATTTTTTTAATTTTTTTAGCATATTGTGCCGCCAAAAGCATTGAAAAATTTTCATTTCATATTTGAAAGCCAAAAAGTCAAAAATCTCCGTGGATATACGATTCACCCAAATATACTTTTTGAAACAGATACCGTCTGGACTAACAGTAAAAAATGTTTTTCCAAAAATAATTAATTTCTACATTTTTATTTAACATTTAAAATGCTGCACAGTCGTCAAAAAATATATTTGTTTCGAAGATTTTTGCTACTTCTGCCCTAGAAAACTCCGCAATTAATTTTCAAAATTGACATTTGAAAACAAGGAGGAAACCGGAGTAACAAAAGGACATTTTTTCTTACGATTGAGTAGCACTCTTATATTTGTTCATTTTACTTGTACATTGGGTCCCAGAAAGTGATTATACACTCATTTTAGTGTACAATCATTTGACAAATAAACTTCATAATGGGCAGTAGCTGAACTTAGGTCGACGCATTCAGTTAATCTCTTAAATCCATGAACGTACTTTACTTTCTGATTACAGGAAACTGTGACATTGGCAATCTATTTTGCGAAAGAATACCTTGTAATTGAAAACATTAGGACGTCGACAAAAATTGATTGAACTAACTTTCACTTAATTAAAAACTGCTCCTCCCTGAAGGGATTTTAAGGTGTAACATGTCTTGAAAAAGCGACATTACGGATTTAAAAACGAAGACATAATATAATAGATAATCGGAATTGTGTCGTTTGAGTAGGTATATTAAAAAAAAATGATGGCTTCCCAGGCTTTTCATACTATCTCCGGAATCCCCCGTTATCCTTCTTCGATGACAAATCACCGTCTATCCACAAGCTCTTCACACTGTTCTATTTGCCAGAGGAGGAGATTTCGTCGCAGGAATTTCCAAATATGAATCATTATGGAATATAAGGATAGCCTAATAGTCCAGGCGATAGAGCATTCGAGGCGTTTGTATTTGAAGTCATCTATTTTGTTGTACAGAAAATTCCCAAATATTATGTAGAATAAGAATCCGAGTTGGCCTATTCCAAAAAATCATTCAGGGGAACAACAAACATACAAAAAGAACGAAGAATGAGTTGTTTTTCGACATATTTTTCCTTGTAACATTGAAAGTAAGCCGTAAATCAAATAAGTCATTCTTTATTTTTTGTTTATTTAACGATTTTCTATAAAAATTTAAAAAAAAATTCTAAATGGTTATAAAAGTGTAAAAATGGTTATTTTTAGTATTAATCATTGTTTATTATGACAAGTATCTCTAAAAAATTGTGTGTCCTTTCTAAATCTTAATTTAAACCCACGATACGCGATAAACTTTTTGAAATTTTCTTAATTAACAATCCTGTCAAACGATCGATCTCGTGGATCGTTGCAAAATTTTTAGGGTATAATTGACATATGTTTTACTATTTGTTCACAAAGTTTCATCAACATTTTTATAGAAAAATCGTCAAATAAACAAAAAATAAACAATTATTTGTTTTATTTAGAGCTTACTTTCAATATTTCAGGGAAAAATATGTCGAAAAACGGGTCAATTTTCGTTCTTTTTGTATGTTTATTGTTCCCCTGAATTTAGCGATGGTTTTTTGGAATAGGCAAAGTCGAATTCTTACTCTACATAATATTTGCGATTTTTCTGTACAACAAAATAGATGACTAAAGCTAAATTTCCTTCGATGATACTTAGGTTTCTGGCATCCGAGAACATTGTACAATTGATAAAATTTTTTGAATTCGTTTGAATTAGCTTAATATATTTAAAATATAGTAAAACACAAAAAACTAATAATAAAATCTGATTTAAAAACAAAATTGTAAAAAAGCACAAGTTGGTTCGGTTTAGTCTAAGCCTAATAAAGTTGAATCACATTTTTTAAAATGTTCATACTTTCGTTTTTCTACATCTACAAGTAGATTTTTTATAATATTGATTTATCCGACCGACTCGTAGTAAAACGTAATAGTGGGAAGGATTATTAGGAAGAGTACACAATGTAAGGACCATAAAATCATCCGATTGATTGATAGCGTCATTTCCAGATCCTGTTTGTTTTGTCTTGGAGCGACAGCGCCAACCAGTGATAAATTAAAATGTATCTGATGATATATTTAGACCGTTTGTGTGAGTTATATGAAGTACATATCATCAGAAGTGAGTGTGATGTAACGGACATGCTTAAAAGTACTTTATCGTGTTCCTTAACGTGACGGGGTACAAGTTTGAAGTGAAGGCCTGTCAAATTTTACATATTTACGAAAAATTTATACACGCACCTTTGCAGTGTGAAATTTCAATAGTCTGTTTCAACGTGGCTTGAAATCATTTATGAAAGTTCTCTACGAAGCAACCCAAAAGATTTATTCCTTAATCCCCATCTATCATATAGTTAGGATTTGAAAAACATAATGTATTTTTTTCGTATCGGGACGAAATTTATTGAGCAGATATTGCCATTCGTCCCACATATCAGGATTATAAACCGCACGCACCGGACAAGAAAAATACTCTAGGCCCATCGGCGATCTTTCAATTTTTGAGCGAGCCGGACAAAGGGATTTTGCCTGGCTTTGTCCGCGTACGACAACGGAATCTATCATTTGTATACAATCAGGAATGAATGACCTTCCTTCTTTCTGCATACCCATGTGCCCATATATCTAACGTGGCAGCTTGCAGTCCCACTGTTGTCCTGTGGGACTTGAAAAAAATTTGTGCGATATAATCAGCTGAATGTGAGTTAACATCTTCAAGCTCGGTCTTTCCCTGACCTCCCTTCAAAAGATACTCGAGCCGGTTTATGTGCTTTATTTTTACAGTAAAAAAGGTTTTTACAAATCAAAAAGTACATGTGTTCGAAGTAATAAAAACTACAAGAAAAAATGGGCTTAAAATCGATAATCTCCAGAAACTCACACATAAAATCAGCCTACTGACTTATCACAATAATTCGAAGAAACATTTTTGGAACCCCTGACTCTATCGTAACTCTGATGGCTTTGTTAACGAGCGTTTAAACACATCACCAGTGTTGCCAATCGCAGTAGAATTTCACAAAATGTGTGGAATTTAAGACAACGTTGTGGAATATTTAACGAGCACTTGTACGACATTATTGATTACCACATATTCTCCCATCCTCCAGGCACTGCAGATTTTGGCGTGTGATACGTGTTC